CCTTTACAATCTTAAACACCTCAATCAGACTCCCCCCCTCCAACTCTTCTTTTTTCAAAAGAAAACAATTTGAGATATTTCAACCTCTCCTCGTATGACAACCCCTCCTTCCAAGACAGCAGGATATGAAGAGATAAGTCAGAACTGACCATCACAGCCGAAGTGTATGAACTGTCTGGTTGACCAGTAACAGCGAAGGTCATGATAGGATGATACGCCTGACTGACTCCTCAAACCTCACCACAATAGTGGAAACAGGTTTTATCTAAAGAACGTGGCTAACGTATTAAAGTATTGAGAGGTTATATGATGATAACCTATATTACAGGCCACAGACGCCTGTTTGTTTGTCTTGTTAAACTTCGTGAAAAGTTGCATGAGGTCCATCTGCCAAACCATACTTTTAAAGTGATAAACTGGAGGGAATGCAGTTAGTCAACAGCACCCACCGCCAACTCTTAGGCTGCTTTTTTTACCAACGAATAATGGGATTGATCGTCACGCTATAACACCCTCACGGGTGAAAGGGCGAGCATGATAGGTGAGGAGGATTCGAACCCAGAACCCACGGATTGCGAGTCGAGCGCTATAACCACGAGACAATGTCAGGCTTAAACAGAGTGAATACGATTGGTCATTATTCGTGCTTTTATGAGTACAGTCAATCAAATTGTTAGGATGTTTTGATCCCTAAATGGTCATTTTTGAGATACACGAAACGCTTGTAAACAAAATGGCGCCAAGTAAATGTTATAAAGTCGTTAGGAAGATGGAATTCTTATATTGTAACTTATATATTTTAATGGTTTTATATCTGTGCTATGCTTTAGCGAACTACAGCGCAACGTCAGAGCATAAATATATGATAATCTAGTAATTTACAATAAAGTTTGTTTGTTTGGAATTAAGCACAAAGCTACACAATGGGCTATCTGTGCTCTGCCCACCACGGATATCGAACCCCGGTTTTTAGCGTGGTAAGTCCGCAGACATACCGCTGTGACACTGGGGTGGGGGGCTAAAATAAAGAAGTATTCTGTATATATTGTGAAAATATGTCTATTTGTTACATCTACTAGAACAGTCAAGTTAGTCTGATTGTAAGCTAAGCTTTTGTAAAAAGACAAATATAGCTAACACCGCATAGGCGACGAAAAATAACAAAATTGAATAATAGGTTGAACAATCGCCAGTTTCTTTTTATATTTTTTAACATTTTTATCTAAAGAAGGATGGCATTTCGAGCTAGCGTTCTTCGTCAGATCGTACAATTTACAGTCAAGACAGAGTGCTAGCTCGAAACGTCACCTTGCTTTAGATAAAAATTAAAAAACAATATATATAAAACTTGGCGATTGTACAACTTTTATCGAATTTTGTTTGTTTGTTTCTAGTTAAGCACAAAACTACACAAAGGGCTATCTGTGCTCTGCCCACCACGGGTATCGAAACCCGGTTTCTACCGTGGTAAGTCCGCAGACATACCGCTGTGCCGCTGGGGGGCATCGAATTCTGTAAGCTAAGCTTTGACATTTCGCGTTAACTCCGAGCTTCAGAGTCACTTGTGCTTTTACGAGGCCTAGTTATATGAGTTAATTTTTTGTTGTAAAATGTACTTCAAAGGTCCAGTTCTTATGGACTTTGAAAGACAGTAGTGTCAAGAAACTACCAAATCTATTAGAATAAACAGAAACAAACAACATTCTTGCACAATGATATTATTGATTGTTTGTTTTGAATTTCGCGCAAAGCTACACCAGGTATATCTGCGCTAGCCGTCCCTAAATTTAGCAGTGTCAAATTATAGGGAATGCAGCTAGTCAACTCTTAGGCTACTCTTTTATCAACGAAAAGTGGGATTGACCGTCATATTATAACGGCCCCACGGCTGAAAGGGCGAGCATGTTTGGTGTGACGGGGATTCGAACCCGTGACCCGCAGATTGCGAGTCGAGCGCCCTAACCACCTGGCCATGCCGGGCCACATTATTGATAAAAGTTACATTTTTTTTTTCCCCCGCTAGAATTAAAATAAAAACTCCATAGGCTTGTTCTATAAACTTCGTTAAGTCCGATTCTAAAGCTTTATTAGGGTAACGCAAACTTATCAAACGTAGAAAGTAATCTTTGATAAAAGATGACGGTAGATGTTATACGTCTTACAAGACAAATGCAAAAGACAATCACGTAAGCATTAACGTTTACGTGAAATGTAAGAAGAAAAAAAAAGTAAATGGCATATAATGAATAGTTTTTCTACAGGAAAAACAGTTTAATTTTCTCTGTTCTAGTCGATGGTGACACGCCTTAAGGAATGCCCCGTGCGATACTGGGGCTCTGATGAAGTGTTTTTGGAGAAAATCGATTTGAGGTTATAATTTGGTGACTTACTGGCAAGTTGATAAATAAAGAATTATCTTTGTAGATTTAAAGAACCGAGAGTGTGATGTACGAGCCTCACCTAAAGGTGGGGGGGGGGGAGATGAGAATATTAAGTTGTTCATAGCTAACGTTTGTTTCTTGAAAAACACGAAGAATTTGATTTTTGTGCTGATTATATTCGTGTCGTCTTTTATTTGATTTTTTTTTTCTGTAACATTTTGTCTTCGACTCCAAATTTTTTGTTTATTTGAGTTCTTAAGTTTTAATTCTAAATCGTACGTGAAGTTTAAATGGCCGTAAAGACAAAAGATGAGTCCTAGCTTGGAATGTTTAATGGTCAATTGAATGTTATAGGACAAAAAATAAATAAATAATTAATTTCCTTAAACAAATTAACTGTTAGGAAAAGGTACCGGCATGGCCAGGTGGTTAGGGTACTCTACTCGCAATCTGCTGGTCGTGGATTCGAATCCCCGTAACAGAACGTGCTCGCTTTTTCAGCTGTGGGGGCGATATAATGTTACGGTCAATTCTACTATTCATTGGTAAAAGGATAGCCCAAGAGTTGGCGGTTGGTGGTGTTGAATAGCTGCATTCCCTATAATCGAACACTGCTAAGTTGGGGACGGCTAGCGCAGATAGCC